AGTGAGATTTTTATGCTACAAACATTTCAAACCTGATTGATTTAAAGTTGTATCATAATTTGCCACAAATTACAGCTGCTAGATCAGTGAACTCCTGTTACTAACACCCCGAATCAGCATATTTTGGTTTATCTATACATTCACACTCCATAGTATAACAAATACTTTTATTAACCTCATGTCAAAACAACAAGACACAGATAAATGCTTTAAAAGGATATTTGTATTTGTATTTATATTTGTTTTAGGCATGTATAAAAAGATAAAATGTAATAAATACCACATTATAAAACTCTACTCTAGTAAGTTTGTTCTAAGTTGAACTCGGTTGTGTTCCACTGCTGCAAACACTCATCACGCCTGCTGATGTCTTGTTCCTTCTGACTTTTAAACACACACGCTTGGCTTTCTGGAGCTGAAGCCCACAGGCGTTCAGCCAGGCCACAGTCCAAACCGTGTCAAATCAGCAGAGTCTTCACCAGGGGCCAAATCTGCTGCATATAATTAGCTTTTAATCAGCACCCTCATTCAGGCAAGCAGTAAAGATTAGCTCAGCCTGGGCTCTGCTTAAAATAAGCATTCATGAATGCGTGTGAAAGCCTTTGACCCATCGCATCCAATCATACACTGCACCCAACCCCCCTAAAATGTGCCTTAAGGACTCTGATTTTTTTTTCTTCTCCCCGGTTTTTTTCTCTCTCCGAATGTTCTCAGAAATGTCCAAGGATGTTGGTTTAATGCACAGCATCCTCTGCAGTCAAAATCCTCTCAGTACCTCACCTCTGCACAAGGGCAAAAAGCCCTGTACAGTATGTTAGCACAACAAACCTGACCTCTGTGCTGCAGGGTCTGTTTAGATAATCCAATATTGAGAATTTAAAATGAGTGTTTTTATTAAAAAACAGCTGGGGTTGAAGAGCATAACATTTTAGATGAGCTCGTCTCATCTAATCCGTGTTTCTCTCTGGGGTGAGCTGTGGCGTTTATGCCTGTAATGAAGTGCACTGAGATGAAAGCCTTTTTTAATGGGATTTAGTTAAACTGGGACACAAACCAGAAAGTCAGAGAGAGGCAGAGCAACGTTTCCTCATCATCACTGGCATCGTCACTGTTACTTTTCATGGATGCCTCACTCACTTGCTGTGATAATCTAATGAATACATATGTTTCCTTATTTATTAACTACTGGAAATGTCACCTGTAAAACTTAGTGCTATAATCATGTCTAAATGTTTCTATTTCAGAGGGATTTTTTTCCTGCATGTTGCGTACTGATTTCTCATCTCATTCTTTGTTTCATAAACCAAGATTACCTATGTCATGAAAGTTGAGTCATCATGTCATGTTCAGATGGTTAACTTTTTTCCAGGTAACAGCCAATGGAATTTGCAGGTATTATTTCAGTTTAACATCTATTTTTACTATATCTGTCTTGGTTTGTGGTGTTGCACGAACTGCTTCAGCTTATGATGTTGAAAATAACGCTGATTAGATGCAAAGACTTTTCTAGTCAAGATTAAGACGTTGGGCTCAAAAACATTAAGGGTGGAATTTGGGTGCGGAATCTTTCGATTTTTATTTTGAAACATTAATAAACAAAATAAAGCCTGCATACATTCAAACCACTGTGAAATTTAAAGAGGTTGTTTAACCTATAGTGTCTTTTGGGGGAAGCCGGAGCACCTGGAGAAATTCCATGCATGCACAGAGAGAACAGATTCAAACCAAAGACCTTACTTTTTAAAGACAACAGAGCTAACAACTGTCCCACAGTTCAGCCACTATTTTTTTCTGTCTTTCTTCATTTTATGTTTTTATTTGGGGAGAGATTCATTTTTTTGCTTCTCTTTATTTCATGTTCTGTATCATTTGTAGTAAACAAAACAAATCAAAGCAACCCCAAATACTCCATCTTTTATAGTTTATTTTGTTTAATATAAAAACTTTTTCTGTTATCAATACTTGATACTTTTCTCTATTTCTTGGTTTACATCATTTTCTGTCAGTATTTGTATTTTATGTTGTGTTTTTAATTGCTTCTTATAAAAACAATTGGACGATCGTTTTTAGATCTTACATCTTTTCTCTTTTTTGTAGGGCTATTTTTTTTTACCTTTTTTATTTTTATATTTATTGGTATTTTTTTACTATAAAAACATCATTGTTCTTTTAAGTGTTTTGTTTCCAATAATTGCTGTTTATGAGTAGTAATTAATTGTTGTTAAGGTGTTGGATATTCTGTTTTTCCTCCTTTTTTGTTGTTTTTTGATAGTTCTTTCTGAAATCTTTTATTGTTTTATTAATTATATCAATCTGTGTAAATATTACATGAATTTAACCAGCATAAAATAGCCTCCCAAAAACCTGCTATACTTCTCAAATGTAAAGGGCCAAGATAAAGTATACTGTACCTTTCCAAGTTTTTGTTAGGAAATGTATGGAACTTTGGGCCTCTCTCCGGTTTCTTCAAGGTAAAAGTAATTTGCTGGATGGAGCATGACTGTTTGGAGAAGATCGGTATATAATGGATTTGCTGATGGTCCAAAAACCTTTTCCGGGTACATATTGTTTTTGGAAATGACCATGTTCTGAATGCTCTGCATTGCAGCATTCATCCAACAGTTTTTAAAATGGTTGGATAACTTGCAAAACTAGATGGTTGGATTATAATTAGGATCTGTCTGACTACCTTTTTCTTGGTAGCACTAGTGAGTTTCATTCAGAACCCATGACCTCTCATATTCGCAGTGCTTTCCCTGTTTAATTCTTCAACTTCAAAACAGGCGTTCAGTTCTTCCTTTTCATTATCTATTTGAAGGGCTGGATAGGTTAAAGTTCCCCCCCAAATCTTGTAATTGAAGTCAAATTTGTTGTGATTCATGGTTTTATGTTTCAAGTTTAAGGGTAGCTTTGACCCCAACGCTAAATTTGTTCTACCTCTCTGTTTATTCCTCGAACATGTTAAAAAAAACACATCTGTGGTAAATATACTCTCTACAGTCTTAACTTACAACTGTTAGGTGTTTAATATCTGCATAAATACCAGATGTCCACACATTTGTTAGTTTGATAACGTAAAAATTATGGAGAAAGGAATTTTCTACAGGAATGTCAATGATTGGAATTACAGGATGTGTTACTTCACCCTGACAGGTTAACCATTTCAGATAAAGGCCTGTCGCATCAGTGTGGTTATGGAACAGTTTTCTTTTCAAGATGGAGTAGCGAATAGTATAAGTATAAGTATAGAATAAGTAATTTCCCTCTGGGATTATTAAAGTATTTCTGATTCTGATTCTGAATGTCACAGTATTCTTGGCAACCCAGTGGCTAAGAACGGAAATGGTAGTGTCGTATGCCACTGCACTGGGTAGGGTGATGATGGGATCTATTTCCTGGATTTGTAGCTCTTTGACATCATTTACATCAACTTTTATCTTTTATTTAAAAAGGACAAACATAAAGTTAACAATATGAACAGTATTTAAGGTCATATATTACTGATAACGACATTTAGCATCTCCAACTGTTAACATTAATCTTCTGCCTTTGTTTCATACAGTTTGTAGATTTTCAGATCACTGCAAGCATTTACAAATCTAGAGATAGAAGGGGATTCTTCAAGTTGATTTAACCGTTGACACAAAACACAGTAATATCTCTTCATACTGCTAGAATTTATTGCGTTGATGAACTGAAATGCTTGGTGAGAGAGATCCAGTATGTGTGACCATTAGTGGGTCCAGCTCACTCACTCTGGACAGGCAGCGATCCTGCTGCTGCTCTGATGAGTTTGGCTCATGACCTCCTTGGAGCTGCGCTGCCACAATGTTCCCCTGCTTATTATTGTTCAGTCAACAACATCTGTTGGGCCAGATAACAGGATTAGACCAGCCCCCTATAGTCCTGTGGAAACTAGCTTGGATTAGCCGACAACCTATCTCTCATACATGTGATTGTCTGTTTGTATGCCTCTAGATTTACCCTTAAATCAGTTCTCTCTGTTCTGTTAAAGAACCTACATCACATAGAAAGAGTCTGGGAGCACATGCTTCTAGCCTATAGAAATAATTTTTTAACCTTCTTCGTTGTAAGCTTTGCAGCATAAATAGATCCTTAGACTAAAATAGTTGATTTTCACGGAATCCTTTTCATTTCACAGAAAGAAATAAAATTTAAAAAATTGTTCAATGAATGTTACTCGGTCTTTATTTTTCTGTTAGTTCACTTCTAGACCAGAAATGCTTTACTGGTTTCATCCTAAGTATGAATTTAACATTGTAAGAGTATGGGCCATGCACTACCTTCTACTTGCATCTCCTTCATAAAATTTATAAAAGAGTGTCCTATAATCTTCCCTTTTTCAAGGTGCTACAAGTCCACTTCATTTTTTGCCTCCGTTGAATTAACCATTAGGACCAGCTAATGTAGGCTTACTATAGAATAAAGCCAAAAAAGCTAACTACTACACTATTGGATGCTTACAATATATACTTTTAATCAGATTCTGGAGCAAAGAGCTAAAGAGCTTCGTACATAATCACCAACCTTATGGCAATCACCATAATGGTCCACTTGTGAAATCAAATCAGTTGTGCTATTATCTAGTTCATGATATCAATTTACAGTGCTATATTGGCAAAACAGGATACAGAGAAAAAAAAAAAACGAATAAAGAAACACAAACCATTATGATGCAAATACACATGGTATAAATGTCTCTGGAGTATAGGAACTAAGTCCCCAGTGTCATCTACAGTACATCCCGAGGGGTGCAGAACATCCCAGATCCTGCTCATGTATTCCACCACTGCCAACATACCTGCCAAAGTTGAAATGCTCTTGTGATATTTCTGCCAGGCTCTGCACCTGCTACGACCTTTAGCAACACTCGAGGCAGGATTTTTACATTTGTTTCTTTTATAAGGGAAAGAGACATTTTCAAATCTGTATGAAAGCATATTTACCATGTTTTTTTCCCTTTACTCTGTGTGTTTCAGTGTCAAATAGAAAGACTGGGAAAAAAAATGAACTTTACCCTCAGAAGTCAGAACACAGTAGTGCCTGTGAGAGAAGAACTCAACACATAGGTAAATATGTTTTTGAATCACTTCAAAGTCTTTCTTTTGGATTCCACCTGGGAAATTCACATTTCAAAATCATGTGAAAAGTATGTGTGAATATCTCTTGGGTTTCATCTTCTTTTTTGTTTTGTTTTTTTGACAAACATAAATAACTCACATTATCATAATGTTTTATCATAGAGATTCTGTGAATAGAAATACATATTTGGGTGATGGCAAGAAAGCTTTCCAAGCTTAAAGATTCTGTAATCATTACCCATCTTAATTAATTAAATTCCAGCTAAAAATGTTCTGAAAAATATGCAGCATAAGAATGCTGGAGGTATGATTAATCCCATGCACAGTGTCTCGTGATTGGTTGTTGCTAGCTTGGGCAGTCAGACTGATTTACGGGGGGCATAAGTCAGTCTGTTCAGGTTCAATACTCCCTGGTCTAGAACAGGCCGTACCAATCACAGCATGGGAGGCGGGCACATAATATAACCACACTTTTCTGTAACCATAACAGCTAAGAATGCAACTGTAACAGAGTGATGATTTAATGATTCCCTTCATTATGTTCTGAAAGAGCTGTTTATTTTGATAATATTTCAACAATTGCCTGGAAAGACAGCTTTTCTTTTTTTAAATATGATTTTTCGTTACATTAATAGTTGTCTAATTGATTTTAGCCTATTTCTGTTGACTATTTGAAATTGGACTTATATATTTATATAAATATAATAGCTTTACAGCAATGGAGAAATAATGAATTGGAGATAATGCCGTAAGCCCAGATATTTCTGAAAATATTGTTATTGCATCAGAACTTTTATAAGTTCAAGGTCTGTCCAACTGTATGTGTGCACCGACCATTTTTTTTTTAAATGTTGTTACTCCTGATTAAGTAATTAAACAATTTTTCATTTCAATGTCACATTCACATGGTTTACATACTGCAGCTGACATTAAGCTTAATATTTATTTGGATCCTTACAATCAGTTCTTCAGGTAGGATTCCGTCTCTCAGCCATATACCCTCAAAACTAGTTTATTATCAATAAAAAACAATTATGTTTAAATAGTACAAAAGGACCTTTAAAAATTGTTAAAATAGCACATTATGTTTCAGATCGTAAACAAGTACTCTAAAGTAAAACAGGGTTTGGATGTTGTTTTATCATGCTTGTAAAACCAATGGCTCTGCAGCACTAGAATGAAGATCCATCATTTAGTAAACAGGAAAAACAATCATGTAAGTATAATTATTTTACCACTAGGTAAAATTTAAACGTACGGAGCCCCTAAAGGGACAAGTTTTGCGAGATCTCGCAAAAGTTCTGTGGGATCTCGCAAAAGTATTGGGAGATCTCGCAAAAGTATTGCGGGATCTCTCAAAAGTATTGCAAGATCTTGCAAAAAATAAACTTTTGCGAGATCCCGCAATAGTTTTGCGAGATCTCGCAAAAGAATTGCGGGATATCGCAAAACTTTATTTTTCCCTCCATGTCCCTTTAGGGGCAAAATAAACTTTTGCGAGATCCCGCAATTCTTTTGCGAGATCTCGCAAAAACTAAACTTTTGCAAGATCCCGCAATACTTTTGTGAGATCCCGCAAAACTATTGCGAGATCTCGCAAAAGCATTGCGGGATCTCGCCAAAGTATTGCGAGATCTCGCAAATGTATTGCGGGATCTCGCAAAAGTATTGCGGGATCTTGTAAAAGTTATTTTTTTCCCCTCCATGTCCCTTTAGAGGCTCCGTATAAACATGTCATTGCATGTGTTCTCAGAAAGTATGTTTGATGCAAGAGAGAACAACTATACGTACCTGGAAGAATATTAAAGTAGCCAGGAAGTTTTCTCTGGCAGTTTGTTTTTGGTTTACTGTTAAATGTTTGCCTTATATCAACTCACTGGGAAAACGATCCAGAAATAAGTAAAAATGGCTTAAATTAAGTTTATTTATCCTTAATTTGAGTAGGTAAATGAGATTGTTTGCCAATGAAATAAGTATTTTTACTCTTAAGATAAGATAATTAGATAATATGCACTTGAAATAAAACAATGCAATTGTGTTCTCTTATTTTAAGTGTAAATTGTCTTGTTCCATTGGCAAGATGTTTCTTTTACTTTCTTAATCCAAGAACAAATGTACTTATTTTAAGAAAAAATGAAATTTTCAGTGCTCAGAATTATAAGTTGGCTTCATATTGTAGTTTGCAGTGTGTAAAATGTGCAGAATGAAGATTTGGTCCTTGGATGTTATCTATGCGCATACATAAACTTTGATGCATCTTTACACAAACCTGAAATGTTAAACTCAGAGCATAAAAGTCTGAAATTATAAAATAACTAAAAGCAATTTAATGCAATCACATTACTGTAATTGCTTTAGAACTTTCTCATTGACCAAATACCTGTAATGAATCAGAATACATTCCTCAGGAACTGAACGACAGACTAGCTGAATTTGTGAAGTGAAGAAACCATCAGTATCTCTTCTATCAATTGCAAAAAAGGAAAGTCGTTGTAAGGGCAGTATTTTACAATCTTCACCTCTCGCCCTCGACAGAACTTGTCTATCTGTCTATTGTCTCAGTAAGACATTGAATCCCTGTCACTCCCTCCATCTCTTATCCCAGCAGCCTGTCTGTCATTGTCTGCTTCCTTTTCCTTCACCATGTTAGCCTGTTTCTGTCAAACGGTTTCTTCTCACTGGTCCATCTCTGGTTCTGTCTGTCTCTTCCTTTATTTTATCATACATATATCCACATCTGTCTGTGAGGTTGCAGACATCCCTGCTATGTTTCTGTTCCCCTCTTTTTTTGATGATGATTTCAAAAGCTCAAGAAAGCGCACATGCACGCACCGGGTCCACGTCAGCATATAGGCACGCTAGCAGTTATGAGTGCAGATGGTTTGCAGGTGTATATTTAATATAGCCTAGTGTGACTCTTTCAAGCAATATGAAACAGTTCAAGCAGGATTCCAGTGTCACTGTTCATTCTGCTGCTTGCTCTATGCTTTCTTTTTCCATCCTGTGTATCAAAATCTGTTCCTGCCAGTGGGCCTTACCTTCTCTCTGAGGATTATGAGTCACATTTTGGATCTTTTTATCTTTGCTGTTCTTTTTTTCTCGAAGGTCAGCTGGCCTGCATCAATGTACATTCAACGGTTTTATATTTTTTTCACCTGGACTATGTCTTAGGGTTATTTTTTTTGCAATAATGATTCACAAATCAAACAAAAACCCAGCCACCATTGTGACTTCTGGTATGACTCATACTTGCACTGTAGTGACATAGTTACGCATGCATACACATCAGATTTGAACAGCGGTGCCCACACACTGTTGCTATGTAGTTTTATGTCTGTCTTTGTTTATTTGTGTGTTCATGTGTGTGTGTGTGCGTGTGTGTGTGTGTGTGTGTGTAATATGGAGGAGGGGTTTTGGATGCAGATTGTTTTTGGTCCACTGGACCCCTCCCAGTCAGAATGGAGCTGTCTCAGCCTGTCAGCATTAGACTCACGTGGCACCCTGATCTACCCCGACAGCCAGCCATGGGAAATGATGGGTCATGAAACTGCCCACAGCTCCCCATGTGACCTGGTGTACAGGGGTGGAAGGGTGGATTATGAGGAGAGGGCTTTTGTTGAAATAAAGGAACAAGAAGGCAATGAAACGATACATGCCCACAAAATCAGAGGCTGAAACCACAGATAAATTATAAGATCTTTTGCATGCATTGTAAGAAAAGCAAAGATCTTAATCAGTAGCACTGGGTGCATACAATGACTTGTATTGCATTCTATCACTGTAAAGAATCTTAGCTATTAGCTATCTGGCCTTTTATATTTATTAATCTTTCAGTACTTTTATTTCAGCTGAAAAAAAAAAACAATAACAGAAAAAGAAACTGGCACAAATACTTGAGATGAATCATTTTAAACCTTTCTATTATGAAGTTTATCCCTCAAAGTTTAAAATAAAAGAAACCTTTATGATTTAAAATTTAAAGACAGAAAAGCTGAAGCTGGTTCTTTGAGTTTGTGCACAAAAAATAGTTTAATGAAGTAATGTAAAATTAGGTTTTAACATCCAGTCTTAGGAGCTCCCATCTGCCATCATTGAGAAGCTGCTGAAATGGAAACACAGTTCAGCTTTTCTAGTAGGGTTTTTTCAGATTTTGCTGTATTGTTAATTTTATCTAAAGCACTGTTTGTAAAGTTTATAAAGGATATGAAGGAGTTAACTAGAAAAAGTTATCATTCTGGATAAATAATTTTTAAAAAACTTGATCGCGTAAAGTTTACATGCCTGCAAAGTGAAGGTGTCTAATAATGATGCGCTAATACGGATACAGTGTATTGCTAGCAGGCTCAATTCCATTACCTGTGCATATTCTTGCACTTGTTTTCTTCCAACAGCCAGTATTATTTTTCACACAAATATTGAAACCCAGTAAGTAGAGATATAAGATCATATATAGAAGCCAGACTGCTGAGGAGAAATATGTCAGTGGGAGTTACAGGGGAGTTCCCAGGTAAACAAGTACTTTTTGGTGCTATTTTTTAACTACACTGGAAAAATTATCTAGAAATAAGTACAAACTATTTAAATTAAGTGTATTTACCCTAAATTTGAGTATTTTCACTCTTAAAATAAGATAATTGACAATACAATTGTTTTTTTTTTCTTATTCTAAATGTAAATTGTCTTTTTTCATTGGCAAAGTGTCTTACTAACCACCTCAATTCAAGAAAAATGTGCTTATTTTAAGAAAAAATTACTTATTTAGATATTATCTTTTGCAGCATACACCCCAGTCCAGCTTTCAGTCTGGTCTGTAAACAGAACTCTGCTGCACGAAAACCTTTAAAAATTAAACCTCAGTTTATGTTCAGCAAGCTTGTCAAGAGGATATTTTACTTGTACTTGGGTTAAAAACATCTGGTATCCATGCATTTCTAGTGTCTTCTAACACTGTAATTGAATATAATTTTAGGACGGCTGTGACATAAAAA